TGGAGGTAGTGACAGATTTTATTTTCCTGGGCTCCAAGATCACTGCAGACGGGTACTGCAACCAAGAAATTAAAAGATGCTTGCTCCTGGGGAGGAAAGCTCTGGCAAATCTAGACAGCATACTAAAAAGCAGAGACATCACCCTGCCAACAAAAGTGCGTATAGTCAAGGCTATGGTTTTCCCAGTTGCAATGTATGGCTGTGAAAGTTGGACCATAAGGAAGGCTGAGTGCAAAAGGATTGAGGCCTTTGAATTGTGGTACTGGAGGAGACTCCTGCGAGTCCCTTGGATCGCAAGGTGATCAAACCTGTCAGTCCTAGAGGAGATCAACCCTGACTGCTCTCTAGAAGGCCAGATAGTGAAGATGAACCTCAAATACTTTGGCCACCTAATGAGAAGGAAGGACTCACTGGAGAAGACCCCAATGCTGGGAACAATAGATGGCAAAAGAATAAGGGGACGGCAGAGAATGAGGTGGCTAGATGGAGTCACTGAAGCAGTCAGCATGAGCTTAAGTGGACTCTGGGGGATGGCGGAGGACAGGAAGGCCTGGAGGAATGTTATCCATGGGGTCACGATGGGTCGGACATGACTTCGCGACCAACAACAACAACAACAGGATTACCTTGCCTGGGGTTGCTCAAGACTTTGAGATTGCTATGACAACTGTGGGTTTTGCTGCATATCATTAGTCTAACACATGAACCAAGACCCACTTGAGAATTGTTTTTTTTTTCCCCAGGAGGATAGTAAGCAATTGGGTATCTATTCCTTTGTCATAGTCGCTTGCTTGCTTACTGTAGAGTTTTAGGCTGTCGGTCCTTGACCACTCTGCAGTGGGAAGGAGCTATTGCTAATAGCCCTTCTGCAGAAGCTGATGGATTCCTGAAGTCCCTGGGAGACGTCCTAGTTATACTTAGTTGGTGCTCCAGTCAAAGCTCCAGTTACCTTGTGAAAAGAAAGGATACTTCAATAGTTCACTGTCATGGGCCCTCTTCTGCTCAAACAAGTACATTCTGCTTCTTTCTATAGCACCTGAGTTAATGACAAGCAAGTAGAAAAATAGCTAGGTTAGAGAAAAACTCCTGATTTGATGGAATATGAGTGAAAACCTCTGATGGGGACAACTGTTTAGAAGTGATAGAGATGAAGAAAATCATTAGGTGTTCTTTAGTGGAATTTTTCTGAGTGGTGTGGTAAAATTCTATGTAACATATTGTAGAACATTTGATAGACAAGTCTCCTATATTCCTCATGAGCTGGACTCCACAATTAATGCAGTGTCATTAGTGGAGATTTCAAGAGTACTATCTAGGCCAGTTTGCTGGATAAGCATAAGAAACATGCTAGATGAGGTCAAAAGCCCATCTGAACCATCATTCTCTTTCCAGATGGCCAGCCAGACACCCATGGGAAGCTCAAAGCAGGATATGAGTAAAACAGCCCCATGAGTTCACTGCAACAGGCATTGATAGACTTACTAACTTTGCTACTAAAGATGATGTACAGCCATCATTACTTGTAGCTATTGATAGCCTTATTCTCCCATAAATTTCTCCGGTCCCCTTTTAGTCATCCATGTTCTGGCAGATTCTGTAGTTAACAACTCACTGAGGAAAGAAGTACTTCCATCATCATCATCATCACCATCATCATCACCTCCTCCTCCTCCTCCTCTATACAATATAAAAAGCAATAACAAAAAAATCCTAAAAATACAATACCAAATTTAAAAGCCAGATTTTTAGACCGAAAAAGCTGCAATAGCTTATAGAAGTTAAGTCACAAAACCTGTTAAAAAGTTGACTTCCCCAATAAATTATAAAGTTACAATATAAAAATATATAAACTTTGCCATCGAGGACAGTCTTAACCTGGTGCTGAAAAGTTGGTGCCAGACAGGCTTCAGTGGGAAGCTTGTTCTGCAACTGGGAGCTACCAACTGCG